TAAATATTTTACATAATTTTATGTATTTTTAAAAATGTTTAATTTTTACATAAATCTTAACATGCACATGTGACAAAATTCAAATGATATAAAAATGTATTCAATGAAAAGTAAGCCTCTTTCCTACCTCTCTTTTCTAGCCACCCAGTTCCCCTTTCAGAAGGCAACCTTTTTACCAGTTTCTTATGGGTCTTTCTAAAAGTATACTATACGTTTATAAGCAATTACATATATATGTGCATATACTTTAAAAAAATTTTTTTATTTATTTTAAGCAATCTCTATACCCAACGTGGGCTTGAACTCACAATCCCGAGATCAAGAATCGCAAGTTCTACCTACTGAGCCAGCCAGGTGCCTGGCATATACTTTTTTTTTTTTTTTAAGAAGAATGGTAGCATAGTATACATACTATTCTGTACCTTGCTTTTTTTTTTAAAGATTTTATTTATTTGAGAGTGTGAGAGAGAGAGAGACAGAATGTGAGAGGGGGGAGGGTCAGAAGGAGAAGCAGACTCCCCACTGAGCAGGGAGCCCAATGTGGGGCAAGACCCTGGGATCAGGACCTGGGCTGAAGGCAGACGCTCAACTGACTGAGCCACCCAGGTGCCCCAGCTTTTTTTTTTTTTTAACTTAACAATGAGTGTAGGAGATTCTTCCTTAACATAAAGATATATCTCATTCTATTTTTTTAAGATTATTTATTTATTTATTTGACAGAGAGAGGCACACTGAGAGAGGGAACACAAGCAGGAGGAGTGGGAGAGGGAGAAGCAGGCTTCCTGCTGAGCAGGGAGCCCAATTGGGGCTCGATCCCAGGACCCTGGGATCATGACCTGAGCTGAAGGCAGATGCTTAATGACTGAGCCACCCAGGTGCCCCATATCTCATTCTATTTAACAACTGTATAGTTTATTGTAGGGTTATGCCATAATTTATTTATTTATTTATTTATTTATTTATTTATTTATTTATTTTTTAAGATTTTGTTTATTTGACAGAGAGAGACACAGCGAGAGAGGGAACACAAGCAGGGAGAGTGGGAGGGGGAGAAGCAGGCTTCCGATGAACTGGGGAGCTCGATGCGGGGCTCCATCCCAGGACCCTGGGATCATGACCTGAGCCGAAGGCAGATGCTTAATGACTGAGCCACCCAGGCACCCCGCCATAATTTATTTAACCAGGTCCCTATTAATGGACTTTTAGGGTTATCCTAATAAGTTGCTATTACAAACAATTGAATAACCTTGTATATATATAAATACTGCATATGTCTATAGGATACATTTTTAGAAGTTGAGGTCTTAAAGTATATGCACTTAAAAATTTACTAACTGGTTCCAAACTGCCTCTCATATAGAGTTGCCCCTGGTCTGTATATGCCTTCTCCAATGCAATGCATTGTCAAAATATTTTATTTTGGCCACTGTGATAGATTAAAATGGTATTTCATAGTTTTAATATGCATTTCTCTTATTAATAATGAGGTTGTGCATCAACCAGCCATTTTGAAGAGCCATTATAACATCATTTTATGATGTTATATTTTATGAGAGCACTTATTGAGGTATACTTTACATACACTGAGTGCATAAATCTTATGCAAACGGTTTGATGAATTTTATAACATATTTTGACACCCATGTAACCACTACCCAGATAGGAATCTAGAGTATTTCTATCACCCCTGAAAGCTCCTTCTTGCCCCTGCCTGTTAGTATTGCTCCCAGGCATCCAGTATTGTGACTTCTATCACTAGCTAAGTTTTGTCCTTTCTTGAATTTCATACAAAGGGAATAATACAGTATGTGCTCCCTTGTGTTTGAGTTCTTTTACTAACACACTTTTGAGATTTATTGATGTTCTCTTATGACATCATTTTATTTTATTTTATTATTTATTTTATTTTAAGTAGGCTCCACGCCTACTTGGAGCCCAATGCAGGGCTTGATCTCACGACCCTGAGATTGAGACCTGAGCTGAAATCAAGAGTCAGACATATAACCGACTGAGCCACCAGGCACCTCTATTATGACATCATTTTAAATAGCAACAAAGAATAAAAATATACACACACCATTATTTAATCAATTCCTTATGTTAACCAGTCCCCTAAATATTATTCTTTTCAGTTGTTTTCAATTTCTTGTTATTATAAGACAGTGTGATAATAAACATTCTTGTAACTAAATATTTGCCAAAAATATTTTCGTGGTATAAATTCTTAGAAGTAGAACATCTGAGTCATTGGATATGTGCAATTCACGACTTTTGATTATGTATTTCTGAATTGCCCCCATAAAAGTTGTATGGACTTACTGTCCTACTAGGAAAGGATGAAGGTGCTTATTTCAAGGAAATTATACCTCCTTGAACCCTTATCTACACTGGGTATTCCAATTAAGTTTGTGTCTTTCAATTCGATAAGTGAGTAACGACATTACTGTTTTAGTTTGAATTTGTATTTTTCCATTGTTAGTACCTAGATTTGTCCATTTTTTTCTCTTGAGGTTTATCTTTTTTGTTACTAATTTATGAGAGTTCTTTATATAGTAAGAATGTTAATATCTTTGAAAAACTTAAAATTTTCTTTTTTAAAAAATATGCATTTTAATTTTAGAGAAGTTTCTTTTTTTATGTTTATTTATTTATTTAAGTAATCTCTACACCCAATGTAGGGCTTAAACTCACGACCCCGAGATCAAGAGTTGCATGCTCTTCCAACTAAACCAGCCAGGTGCCCTTAATTTTAGAAAAGTTTTCCATCTAAAAAAAAAGAGAAGAGAAACTCCTAAAATTCCACTGTCCAAGGATAACCACTATTAACATGTTTTTTTGTTAAAGATTTTATTTATTTATTTGAAAGAGAGACAGAGAGAGCATAAGCAGAGGGAGGGGCAGAGGGAGAGGGGACAAGCAGTTTCTCTGCTGAGTGCAAAACCCAACACATGGGGCTCAACACATGGGGCTTGAGGACCCTGAGATAATGACATGAGCTGAAGTCAGACGCTTAACCGACTGAGCCACCCAGGTACCCCTTACCATGTTTTTCTAAGCAAGGTGTACATCTATACAAATACATTTTTTTTTTACAGAAATGGAATCATCCTTTACATACTTTTTTGTTTTTTACACTGCATACTATTTTATGTATTTATTTTTTGCATACTATTTTTTGATTAACAGTATTTTGTGTATACCTTGTCTTGTGATTACATATTTTTCTATAACATCACCTATAATATTTTACATTTTTAATTTAAAAGCAGTATGTTGTTACTGTAAAACATTTAAATATCACACACAAAAGATGTTGCAAGCCTGTTACTCTGCTCTCTGGTGATAACCACCATTAGTAGGTCTGCATGTAGTCTTCTATGTCTTTTTTCTAAAGCTGTTCTGTCCATATGCTTTTAAAAAAATATAATCACATTACACACACTGTTTTTATTTTTTCACTCAATTGGGCTTGAACGTGTCAATATATGTAAACCAACCTCACTCATTTTAATGGGAGTAGAATATGGAGGTATCATAATCAATTCTGTATATAGATGGAATATTGTGAATATTCCTAGAGCCACTGTCTCCAATTCTGGCCAATAAAAGTTTTATGATTTTCCTTAATTAGTTAAAACATGTCTCCCAAACTCTGGTGAACATAGACTTAGAGCTTTACATTTCAGATGGATAAAGATGGGCTCTGCAGTAAAACAATGTGACAACTAAGTCACAGGCTCTTTTTTTTAAAAAAAGGTTTTATTTATTTTTAGAGAGAGAGCATGAGAGGGGGGAGGGTCAGAGGGAGAAGCAGACTCCCTGCCGAGCAGGGAGCCCGATGTGGGACTCGATCCCGGGACTCCAGGATCATGACCTGAGCCGAAGGCAGTCGCTAAACCAACTGAGCCACCCAGGTGCCCCTAAGGCATAGGCTCTTTATACTGAATGGCAGGAAAACACGACTGAGAAATTTGTCACTTGTGATGGAGAACAAGCATAGTCTCATTTAATCTTACCAGAGATCTTCCCTTTAGTATGATTAGATAGTGAATATATTCTTTGTTTGGCTCCCCAGGTTGTAAATATATTGTATCTTTAACATCTTATCAGCTCACACGATTTGTAACATATAACCTAAATGAAACAAAATACTTGTAGGTCAGTGATTTGTTTCAGTTTCTCTTTACTTAAAGTTAATTCCTTAAAAGGAAACCCAAGTTTCTGATTTCATGTATTTCTTTCACAGAGAGAGCTTGTGTTAATGTTTGTACAACAGCTCAGCAGCTTGGTATATGTATATTTCATTTATGTAATAGGGAACATACTAAACATATGTCCCTAACTTGGCATCTTTTGCTTAGTGCAAGATCCTTCCATATCAGGACATATGGATCTATTGAGGAAGATATTTTTAAACCTAGAGGTAGATTTTTAATGTGTTTAAAGATTTTATTTATTTATTTGTCAGAGAGAGAGAGCAAGAGCACAAGCAGGGGGAATGGCAGGGAGAGGGAGAAGCAGGCTCCCCACTTAGCAAGGAGCCTGATGTGGGCTCCATCCCAGGACCCTGGGATCATGACCTGAACCGAAGGCAGACGCTTCACTGACTGAGGCACCCAGGCGTCCCTAGATTTTTAATGTTAATGTATTGTTTTGTACTCTCCATGGCCTGTGGCCCTATTGTCTTTTCCCGTTTGGTTTCCCAGGGAGGGGGCTGGAGTGGTGGAATGCTAAATCATCACGCCAAGGCTGAGATCCCCTCACACAGTCTCACGCTGTGACACTTCCCAATGGCACTCTCTAGTGCATGGGATCAGCTCCTGGTGTCAGTACTAACTTTTGTTCCTCCTTCTCTAGCCCTCCTCATCCCCCCGGATCATCCGCGGATACAGATGGCTGAAAAACCAGATGCCTTCTCAGGCTAATGGAAGGGGGCTGCAGTATTTCTTTTCCCTCACATCCTGACTGCCAATGTCTGCCCTGTTTTATTCCCATTCTAGGGGAAGCCATATGTCTTTGACCGTGTGTTCCCCCCAAACACGACTCAGGAGCAAGTTTATCATGCGTGTGCCATGCAGATTGTCAAAGGTAATCTGTATTATCTTTGTAAGATGTATTTTTAGAATGTATGTTTTCAGGTTCCCCATTCCTTACCCCACTTCTTTCCACCAGTGCTCTTTCTCTGCTGTGTCTTCCAGATGTCCTTGCTGGCTACAATGGCACCATTTTTGCTTATGGACAGACATCCTCAGGGAAAACACATACCATGGAGGTGAGGGTTCTGACTTCCATGAGGGGTGAGGAGCTGGGAGTGTAAATGAGAGGCCACGGAATCTCAGTGGGGCAAGATCTAAGAATCAAGCTTGCTTGGTCTGGAGGATGAACCGAGGGGCAGGAGTATAGTGGAACTTTAGTGAAATCCCTCCAGCCTGTTACAGTTTTCTATCCTTTCCACTACTCCAGTTTTCTTCTTTTGATCTGGAAAAGCAGCTGCACTAATATTCCAAAAGGCCACTCAATTCTCTCATCTTTCCAGTAAGAGGTAGACATGGCAGTGACTGCCTCCAACCTCAAGATGGTCTTTTTATCCACTGTGACCTTTGTGTTCACCTGCATACCTCTTGAGTTGTCTCATTCTTTCTGAGTCCCAGCCTCATTCTGGAATACCTTTACTCCCCAGGGAAAGCTGCATGACCCCCAGCTGATGGGAATCATTCCTCGAATTGCCAGAGACATCTTCAACCACATCTACTCCATGGATGAGAACCTTGAGTTCCACATCAAGGTGATCATGGCATGACAGCTGGGCATCCTCAGATGGGGCTTGGGAGGGGAACAGCTAGAATGAGCCTGCTAAGGACCTGGACACCCCAACTTATTTTCCTGTTCTGGTTACCACCGTTCTTCTCTGTCAAGATACTCTCTTCTGCTCTTTCTCTCCTGCTACTACCATTTGAGCAGGTCACATTCACTTGAGATCCCTGGGTCAGGTTTAAGATAGGCCCTCTTCACTTTCTCCCTGACCAGGTTTCTTACTTTGAGATTTACCTGGACAAAATTCGCGACCTTCTGGACGGTGAGTGATGTTTAACCCCATTGGGCAGTGGGGGTGTGAGGAGGGCAAGGAAAAGAAAGCTCACATTGCTTTTGGCAAGAGATGAAGAGGACACACACTCTCATACCCGTGTCCCTTGCCCCCATTCACCAAAATTTCCAAAAGCAAAAAGGGTCAGAAGAGGGAGCTTCGATATCCAGGCCTATACAGTAACAGCCTGAGGCCAGTTGGAACATTGAGGCTACAATCCTGGAGGAGGAGAAACTGACTTTCAGTGTGTGCTGGAAGTTTAAGCTTCATGGGGAAGTCTTTCTCTTTTTTCATTTTTAAAAATTTTTTTTTCAATTTATATATTTACTTACTTAGAGAGAGCGCATGAGTGGTGGTGGTGCGGTGGGGTGGGTGGGAGGAGCAGGGGGTGAGGCACAAGCAGACTCTGCACTGAGTGCCAAGCCTGACACGGGGCTCAATTTCATGACTGTGAGATCATGACCTGAGGCGGACTCAACTGACTAGGCCACCCAGGCGCCCCTCTCCTTTATTCACATAGAAGAGACTACTGTCTCAGTGGGCTACAGGGTACGAGTTGGGGGTGGCGGTACTAGCCTTGCTTACCTGCATTGTCTTGATTCAGTGACCAAGACGAATCTGTCTGTGCATGAAGACAAGAATCGGGTGCCATTTGTCAAGGTGAGAGTGGGGACAGGGGCACCTGGGTGGGGGTCACTGCATTGAGATTTGAGGTGTGGCAGGAGGGAAGACCAGAGACCCGGAAATTGGAGGGCAGATGTCTTGGAGGAGTGAGATGTGCCAAGGGGCTGGGGAGAGTCTGAGGGCTCGGAAAAGACAGTTTTGAAAGGTTGTCTGGTCAGCGTGCAGGTAATATAATCTGCAGATTAACGTTTATGGGTCACTGTCCATTCGCCCCCTGCAGGGTTGTACCGAACGCTTTGTGTCCAGCCCAGAGGAGATTTTAGATGTGATTGATGAGGGGAAATCAAATCGTCATGTGGCTGTCACCAGTGAGTGGGGATCTAAGGGGCTCTTGAGTCTGGGAGCTTGCTGCTTGTCTGTGTGCTCTGGGACTGAGGGACTGGAAGTGAGCAAGGGCAGACTATGTCCTCCAGAAGAAGAGGCTTCTCTTGGGTGTACGACCCAGGTGCCTGGGAGACGCAGTGGCGGGGCTAGTCCTGGCAGGTTCCCTTTCTCCCTGGGTCGGCCAGTGGTCAGTGGAGGCTGGGGGCTGAGGGCCTCAGCTCTGTAGGTGTCAGTACAGGGACCGCCCTTCCCTCTGTCCTGCAGACATGAATGAGCACAGTTCTCGAAGCCACAGCATCTTCCTCATCAACATCAAGCAGGAGAACATGGAGACCGAGCAGAAGCTCAGTGGGAAGCTGTATCTAGTGGACCTGGCAGGGAGCGAGAAGGTTGGGCATCTGGGGGTGGGGTGGGTAGGGAAGGAGGTCTGGGGGGGTACTTTTTAAAATCAAAATAACTCTTTGATTGAGATATAATTCACATACCACAAAGTTCACCATTTTGAAATATACAGTTCCATGGGTTTTAGGATACTTGGAAGGTTGTGCACCCATCACTACTAATTCTAGAACATTTTCATCACCTGTTAGCAGTCACTCCCTATTTCCCCCTCCCCTAGCCCCTGGCAACCACTAATCTACTTTTTGTCTCTGTGGATTTGCCTTTTCTGGACATTTCCTATAAATGGGATGGTATCATATGGGGGTGGGAGGGGGTGGCTTTTGGCAAGAGGGCTTAGGGTAACAGAGGAAGGGCCTTGTCTGTTCTCTTCCCCTGTCTCCTCCCCTCCTTGGACTGACTTCCCCTGAGTAGAGAAGAGGCCACAAGAGCCCTCTCTCCCCCTGCAGCTCTCATGACACACTCATCCCTTAATGCTCTGGTAGGTCAGCAAGACCGGAGCAGAGGGAGCCGTGCTGGATGAGGCAAAGAATATCAACAAGTCACTGTCAGCCCTTGGGAACGTGATCTCTGCACTGGCTGAGGGCACAGTGAGTGTCCCTTAGGCCCTGTCCCGTCATACCCAATGCATGGGGTGCGCGACCCCTAGTCAGCACCAGTCTCCTTCCTGATTCCCTTGTTGAGTATTTTTCTGATTCATGGTCTCCCTCCTCCCCCAGAAAAGCTACGTTCCATATCGTGACAGCAAAATGACACGGATTCTCCAGGACTCTCTGGGAGGAAACTGCCGGACAACTATGTTCATCTGCTGCTCACCGTCCAGCTACAACGATGCAGAGACCAAGTCTACCCTGATGTTCGGGCAGCGGTCAGTGGCAGGGTCCCTACTCCTGGGCCAGCCCCTGTTGCTCTCTCCCCTCCGTGTCACGCAAGCCTTCATGGAGGTCTCATCTCCCTGTTCCCCTCACCCAGGGCAAAGACCATTAAGAACACTGCCTCAGTGAATCTGGAGTTGACTGCTGAGCAGTGGAAGAAGAAATATGAGAAGGAGAAGGAGAAGACAAAGGCTCAGAAGGAGACGATCGCCAAGCTAGAGGCTGAGCTCAGCCGGTGGCGCAATGGTTAGAGAGGGTTCCACTGGGCGTGAGAGGTGGCGGGAGGAGGAGGCTGAGGGGACCAGTGGCGCCTTGTCGGGGGCAGGGCTTCAGGGCAGGCCAACCTCCCAGGAGGGCTGTGTTTCTGGAGGGGTGCAGTCGAGTGGTGTGAGGGAAGTGGAGAGGGGGCTGACCGCCCTTATCCCATCCCCCAGAAAATGTTGAACGTGCACTTGGCAACAGAGATGGAGACCTGCCTGGAGGTCTTGGCGTTGAGGAGTGAGGGAGGAAGGACTTCTGGATGCAGCTTTCTCTGCTCCCATCCCTCACCTTATTCTGCCTCTTGGCCAGGAGAGAATGTGCCTGAGACGGAGCGCCTGGCTGGGGATGAGGCAGCCCTGGGAGCTGAGCTCTGTGAGGAGACCCCTGTGAACGACAACTCATCCATTGTGGTGCGCATTGCGCCTGAGGAGCGGCAGAAATACGAGGAGGAGATCCGCCGCCTCTATAAGCAGCTCGATGACAAGGTGAGGACACCCGGGGCACAGAGGGGAGGTTGGTGGGATGAGAAGGGAGGGATTAAGGAATTCGCTTGTCCTGCCTTCTTCTTTTTATTTTAAAAAAGGGACAAATGCTCATTATTGAACCTGTGGAAGAGAGCCCTGAGTAATGTTTAGAATTGTTGAATCACAATATCATACACCTGAAGCTAATAAAACACTGTATGTTAACTATACTGGAATTAAAATTAAACTTAATAAAAAATTGTACTATTAAGAAATTTAGAAGAGGGGCGCCTGGGTGGCTCAGTTGGTTGGGCGACTGCCTTCGGCTCAGGTCATGATCCTGGAGTCCCGGGATCGAGTCCCACATCGGGCTCCCTGCTCAGGGTGGAGTCTGCTTCTCCCTCTGACCCTCCCCCCTCTCATCCTCTCTCTCTCTCTCTCTCTCTCTCTCTCTCTCTCAAATAAATAAATAAATAAAATCTTTAAAAAAAAAGAAATTTAGAAGAGAAATAAAAACATATCGAAGAAGATGTAAGTCATCCATCATCGCACCATTCATAAATAATACTATGAACATTCTGCTTTTCTCCATACGTAGAACATGCAATTGAGATACACTGTATATGTAACTTTGCATCTGATTTCTTCATTCTACATTGTATAAGGAGCAGTTTCCTACTTTGTTAACAATTCTTTACAAAAGTATTTTTTAAATGGCTGCCTAACAGTCCATTTATCAAAATGTATTGAACCATTTGTTTATTTCTAGTCTTCTAAGGCTTCTAGTCTTCTTTGCTTTTAGTAGCTTGTTCTTGCTCTTGTAAGTAATTCTGAAAGCACTATCTTTGCCTCTGAGGCCCAAGACTTTGCTTTTGAAAGATTTGATTAGAATGGAGCACTAAAGTGGGATTTCTAGGTTAGAGGACATGCACTTTAACCTAAAGGCTTTTGCTGTGTATTGTCAAGGTTATATCACCTTCCAGGGAGAAAGGAATTTGAAAGTGAGGGCAGGAGTGAGGCAAGAGACTGAGGGAAAAACTTCTTTTTAGGATATGGGGTTTCTAACTCAAAGCCTGAACTGTCTGGATTTTTGTCAGGATCCTACCTCTGCCCCACCTCCATAAGTCCAGACTCGATGGAGCTTCCCTTCACTCCATCTTCCCCCCTTGCCTCCAACAGGACGATGAGATCAACCAGCAGAGCCAGCTCATAGAGAAGCTTAAGCAGCAGATGCTGGACCAGGAAGAGGTAATGGGAAGGAGGGCAAGACATGAGAGGAAAGCGATGTGTGCCCTAAAAGGCATAAAAGACCTTTTACAACCAGATAGAAGAAGGGCTTAGTCTTCTGTGTCGGGCTTGGTCACCCCCCCGCCCAAAACTATTGAAGTCTGGGGACTTAACTGGGGCTTTGTGTAAAACACAGATTTGGAGTCTGGGTGCTTCTTCCTTCTGTGAAACCTACAGCCCACTTCCTCTTGATTCTTGCTTTGACCCTTGTCCCTCTCCTGGAGCTCTGCCCTCCAGGCTTAGGGTGCCAGAGAGGCCCCATCTGGGGCAGTGTTCTCGGCTTCCCCAGACCAGGGGGCCATAGAGGCGGTCGCTGGCAGCAGACCCCCTCACGTGCCTTGCCTCTTCCTTCAAGCTGCTGGTATCCACTCGAGGAGACAACGAGAAGGTCCAGCGGGAGCTGAGCCACCTGCAGTCAGAGAACGATGCTGCTAAGGAGGAGGTGAAGGAGGTGCTGCAGGCCTTGGAGGAGCTGGCTGTGAACTACGACCAGAAGTCCCAGGAAGTGGAGGAGAAGAGCCAGCAAAACCAGCTTCTGGTGGATGAGCTGTCTCAGAAGGTGGTGAGTGTTTGACCGGGGTCTAGGAACCCCCTGGCCTCCAGAACATCTGCCACGTCCCAAGGGACCTCTGTGCCCCAGGGGCCACATCACACTCGTACCTCTGCCCTGCTGTGCTGTGTGCTAGGGGACACTCTCCCGCCCTGTCACCACCCTTCGCCCTCCTGACCCCTGTCTCTCCCAGACCCTTGGGCAGGGCCTGTGTTCTCTCTGTAGCAGCCCTCGGGGTCATATACAAGGCAGAGGCTCTGCCCGGGCTAGGGAGGGGGGTGGGCAGATGGCAGCGGGATGACATGAGGGGCTGTCCCCAGGCCACCATGCTGGCTCTGGAGTCTGAGTTGCAGCGGCTACAAGAGGTCAGTGGACACCAGCGGAAGCGAATTGCAGAGGTGCTGAATGGGCTGATGAAGGACCTGAGTGAGTTCAGTGTCATCGTGGGCAACGGGGAGATTAAGCTGGTGAGTGGGGCTGGGGGCAGCAGGTCATTCTTGCTCTGGGCACTGGTGGGAGAGGCAGGGGGGCACCACCCAGGCCCTCAGGGATACTGAGGAGGGTGGGCCAAAGAGCCAGGAAACATGCCTTTAAACTAGACCCGGGAAAACAAGTAGAATTTGCATAGCCTCAGCTGTAAATACACCTTCTAGAGGGTGCTGAATAAAAGGCCATAGAGATGTGCATATAGCTGGCATGAGAGGTGAGGCACAGAGCTGGGAATGAGATACGCAAATCCGGAACAGTGACCATCGGGCTGATCAAGCAGATCAATGTGACTCCAAATCACATTGCTTTATAAGATGGAAGAGGGTGACTGTCAGAATTGGATCTTTAAGTGCAGGGAGAAGGATTTAGTATGAAATGCTAGGTGATAGCAGCTAAAAGTTGTTTGGAAGATACGTGTGCCACCCGAGTCTGTGTGTGTGCGGGTGTGTGTGGGGATGGGCAGAATGCACGGGAATGGGAAAAAGCTTCCCTGCAGCCGAGAAGCACCTCTTCCTGCCCTCTCCCACCCTGCAGCCGGTGGAGATCAGCGGAGCCATCGAGGAGGAGTTCACAGTGGCCCGACTCTATATCAGCAAAATCAAGTCGGAAGTCAAGTCTGTGGTCAAGCGCTGCCGGCAGCTAGAGAACCTGCAGGTTGAATGTCATCGCAAGATGGAGGTGACTGGGCGGGAGCTCTCATCCTGCCAGCTCCTCATCTCCCAGGTGAGCGCCGGGCCCTGAGAGTCTTGGCATGCTGTGGGAAGGAGGACGATTCTGCGACTATGGGATAAGACTCCCAGCACCTGCCGTCATGTCAAGGGCCTAGGGTCAACCACAGTCCAGGACAGAAGAGCCTGGGCTAGCCGGGGAGGGTCCAGGCCAGGGAAGGGAAGGTTCAGAGGGGATACCACCCTCTGAGCTGATGGGGTCTAAAGGAAGGGTCTCCAAAGAAAGGGCCCCTGGCCCTGTGTCTTCAGGCCGGTGCAGCAGACGGGGAGGACCTGGGAGGAAAGCTGCAGAGGTCAGTGTCACCCAGCTGTGTCCTTGACTCCATCCCTCTTCTTCCGCTCACTAACCCTTCCCCCATTAGCATGAGGCCAAGATCCGCTCGCTTACAGAATATATGCAGAGTGTGGAACTAAAGAAGCGGCACCTGGAAGAGTCCTATGACTCCCTGAGCGACGAGCTGGCCAAGCTGCAGGCCCAGGGTGAGGCCTTCTTCAACCTCTAAACCACATGACCTGGGATCTGAGATCCTGGAGGCGGGCAGGGAGGAAAAGCCACAAACATCAAATAGACCTCCTAACAGCATGCTCCTCCCATGCATTAGACTGAGATTGTGGAAGCTTTGGCCTGTAGCTTATTGTACACAAGCCATGAAACCCTCCGTGGATCTCTTTTCCTGTCGTATCAAATCGCACTGTCCTAACCCAGAAGAATATCCCTGAGGGCCCATATCCCTGAAGGTCCATGTCCCCTGCCCTACCTACAACTCTGGTCGCAAAGTGAAGTTCTTTCTGGAGGAGGTAGGTGTGATGTAAGCTGTGCTCCTTTCCCTCTTTCCCTCAGAAACTGTGCATGAAGTGGCCCTGAAGGACAAGGAGCCAGACACACAGGATGCAGATGATGTAAAGGCGAGTGGGGAAGGGGCAGGGGGGCACAGCCGGGGCATAGCCAGGGCCCAGCACGGCCGCGCTGGCCCTCTCCCAGCTGGTGCCTGGGAGTCTGGCTTTGAGCGTGGGGTGGGGCTGTTTGCAGAAGGCCCTGGAGGTACAGATGGAGAGTCACAGGGAGGCCCATCACCGGCAGCTGGCCCGGCTCCGGGATGAGATCAATGAGAAGCAGAAGACCATCGATGAGCTCAAAGAGTAAGAGTCCCCCTGGGTGGCTCCGGCCTCCACGGCTCCCTCTTGGCCCAGGGTCTGGTTTGTTCACTTCCACGGGCCACTCCCCCTGACCATGCCACAGCTTTGTAGCCCAGCTCCAGGAGGCACGGGAGTGAGGACTAGTTCTTCTCCTTGAGCTCTTGTGATTGGGTAGCCCATGGCTTCTCACTCTGTCGTGGAAACCATGGCCTGCATCTGCCTCCGATAATTCGAAAGTAGATGCATCCATCAGTCCTGACCAGACCCACTTGTACCAGAAGGAAAACTTTTGCAGGGCTGGTTTTCCCTTTCCCACTCATTAATAACCTTTTTGTTCTCTCCAACACCTCCTTGCCCTCTGCAGCCTGAATCAGAAGCTGCAATTAGAGCTAGAGAAGCTTCAGGCTGACTACGAGAAGCTAAAGAACGAAGAACATGAGAAGAGCAGCAAACTCCAGGAGCTGACGTGAGTGATGGCCCAGACCACTACTCATGCACACCTGCAGAGGCAGGGCACGATGCAGGTGGGGAAAGGGTGGCCACAGGAAGCAAATGCCTCAGACGAGTCATAGGATGGGGTGGGGAAGGACCAAAAAAAAAAAAAAAAAAGGAGAGAGAGAGAGAGAGAGAGAGAGACGTTCAGAAATGACCTCTATTGAATATTAGCTGCCCTGGCCTGGAAAGATGCCTGTGATGTTCTGTTAAGGGTGAAAAGCAGGCTACAAAACAATATGAATGGTATGATCCCATACAATTTTTGTGGGATATACCTGCATAGAAGTAAGAGTCTGGAAAGACTGACACCAGAATGTTATGTTGGTTTGATCTGTCAGTAGTAGAATTATGGGCTTTTTATGAAACTCATCTTACTTTAGTTTTCTTTTCTAATTTCTGCATAGCAAACATGAGAAACTTGTATAATAAGTAATAATAAAGTCTAGATCAAAGGAATGGAGAGGGAGGAGAGAGGGAGGAAGGACAGTCCTGAGGGACTCTTGTGTTTCCTTCTCGCCCCAGATTTCTGTACGAGCGACATGAACAGTCCAAGCAGGACCTCAAGGGTCTGGAGGAGACAGTTGTGAGTGGTTTCCCTCTGTGCCAAGTTAACAGGGTGAGGTGGGGGCTTCATTTCTTTCCCTGACTTCTCCATAACCCCATTCCTTATACAGTGTCAGTCTGTGGCATAATCAGGACACATCTTTTCCTAAAGGATGAGTGATTCACCTGCCCAGATAGACTGACGCTTCCTATAATTTTAGAGCGAAAATATTGACCTGGTATTTGGCTACCCACAATGTGTCATCATTCTTTCCAGGCCCGGGAACTCCAGACCCTCCACAACCTTCGCAAGCTGTTCGTTCAAGACGTCACGACTCGAGTCAAGAAAGTGAGTGCCATCCTTGGAATCTTCCCAACCCCCGTACTGTCCCCTGCCCACAGGTTTCTCCAACCCCTGTGGCCTCCAGTGGAGATGGCTTGGCCTGGTGTGGGTGAGACCTTTTTGGCCTGGGACAGCCACATCTTTCCCCCCGTCTTTCATCAGAGTGCAGAAATGGAGCCCGAGGACAGTGGGGGGATTCACTCCCAAAAGCAGAAGATTTCCTTTCTTGAGAACAACCTGGAACAGCTTACAAAGGTTCACAAACAGGTAAGAGTAGGGGAAGGGGTGAAGAGAACTCTCGAGGCTAGGTGCCTAGGAGACCCAAATCCTCCGAGGTCCCTTGGGTTTAGGAAATCTGCTTTTGCATGTTTTCCTTACTTTTCCCTTTACTTTTCCTATGAATCCCTTCTTTATCCATGTTTGGTTCCACTTTTACCCTGTTCTTTGTTCCATGCCTGTTCTCCCTTCTCAAAGCTCCCAACTGCCTCTGCTCAAAGTGAAATCCCCCAGGCCTATGGATTTGGAGGGAGAGGTTGAAACTGGTAGAGGTTTCAGAGGCCCGGGGCTGTAACTACACAGGAGGGATACTGGTCAGAGGCAAGGAGAAGCCAGGGAAGTTGGGCTTTCTCTCACGGAGAGAACTCCATCTGCATAGGCCTGGGGCAGGCATGCAGGGTAATTAAAGGATGTCCTCCAGATGGCGCAACCAGCCCCTGGGTGGGCCTGGTTGAAACTCCTGTGTATTAAGTTGCTGCCTCTCTGTCCCCCTCCTTGCTGCTGCGGCTCCCTAGGTGGATGACTGGGTTTCAAAGGTATGGGGTGGGGAGCTAGAAGGGGCAGTCCAAAGGAGTCAGGACAGGAAATGTTTGGTGCATACAGAGCAGGAGCACCCTCGCTAGCGCCAAATATCTGAGCCTTGAAGACGTGCCACAGTGTGTCAACTGGCTCTTCTAACTGACTCGTGAAATAAACCCTAATCTATACTTTATTCCCTTGCTTTCAAACCCACCTGAACATTTGATCTAGACTCATATTCTCACTAAACCGGAGCTTAAATTTCTCATTGCAATGCCCAGCATATGTAGCAGATATGTGGCACATCTTTTTTTTTTTTTAACATAAATAATTTTTTAAAAATCCCAGAACCGTGGCCCAGTGATAATCTGCAGGGTATATTTATTTTATCTGGGCCCACAGAGGGCTGTACTATCATCTTTCCCCCTTTGCTTATTATACAGCAGTATAACAATGTAACAACATTCCGGAAAAGTTCAAAGTCCAGGGAAGAAACATTTGTAATCAGTTCTGCAGACCTATGTTCCTTTCTCTGTGTTCACTTTCCTTCTCTGTCCAGATGCATGCGGAATTGCTTGTTTTTTCCCAATATTTTTATTGTGGTAAAATACACATAAAATTTGCCACCAGAACAATCTTTAAGTTCAGTGGTATTAAATGCATTAAATGCACATTAAATGTGCAACACCCCCACCGTCCTTCCCCATCCCTGTCATCTTGTAAAACTGCACTTCTATACCCACTACCCAGTAACTCCCATCCCCCTCCCTCCCAGCCCCTGGCAACCACCATTCTTCTTTTGTTCTCTATGATTTTGACTCCTTGAAGTACTTCCTATAAGTGGAATCCTGCAGGATTTGTCCTTTTGTGGCTGGCTTATTACACTCGGCATCATGCCCTCCAGGCTTATCCAGTGTCGGATGTGTCGGGAAACCACAGACTGTTTCCTTTTTCCTCACTGAAGCCGCTGCCTCTCTCTGCTCAAAGTCCCAAAGACCAAAAACAACTCACCTAGATGACGGAGGCCGCCTCACAATGTCCTACCTCTGCAGACGCAAGACTAGAAAGGGAAATGAGAGAGATGTAGAAACTTCTCAGTTCACAGACTATTAAATAGCCAGGCCTTCAGCCCTAGTCTTAATTAAGCTGAACTCTTGTCACAGCCAACCATTGTTTACAATCTTTAAATTGTCCAAAGTGGAAGGGGCACTTATGTATTTCCAGGCTCTGCTCTTTCTCCCTGGGCTCCCTGCTCTACCAGCTTACCTGGTATCTTCCAAGGCCGGCTCCTGCAGGCCGGAGGCCCTCCCCCCCCCCCCCCCCCCCCCCCGTTATTGTGCGCAATCCTATAAAAAGATCAGGAAGTCTTCTCTGGCTGCAAGGTGGTTGCTACCCCTCTCTAGCTTAAATTAAATGGGGGAAAGACAACCCAGGAAATCCTTGAATGTGAAGGTAACGAGCACAAATGTTTGTGAGCCTTCAAACATTTTCTTTCCTTCCTGTGGGGTGCTGTGTGAATGTGTGTGGGTGGGGGGTGAGGGGGGCTCCCATGTTTCAGCTTCTGCTCCTGCTATCCACTGCACCTAACCTGCCCTCAAAACCGTATCCACCTTCCAGACTGCCCCTGCGCTCTTGCTGTCCCGCCCTGTGCATGCCTACAAAGCCATCTCTGGGTGAGGGGTGCCTCATCCCCACGGTTGCCCTGGGGCTGTTGGTCTGGCACAAGCGGTGAGGTATTGGGGGGTGGGTATCGAGGCCAGGAAAAGACTGGGACGGAGCACTGTCCCAAGAGTTCTGGGCTACAGTGGAGCTGGCACGTTTTGCTACTCAGAAAATGATGTGACTTTTTCATGCCTGACCACTGTTTGCTCCGGGAGAAGGAAAAAACAGGCCAGAAGAGCAGTTAGGTCAAGGGAACGAGGCCTTTCGAGGAAAGAGTGCTGTCTCCGTCTTCCCTGACTTGATTTCTCTTTATTCTCTCTCCCTGCCCCGCACCCCCACGCTCCACCGCTGGCTCTCTCTTGGGTCTCCGGCTTTGCCTTGGCCTCTTCCCTCGGGCTTACCCCACAGCTGGTACGTGACAATGCAGATCTGCGTTGTGAGCTTCCTAAATTGGAAAAACGACTTAGGGCTACGGCTGAGAGAGTTAAGGCCCTGGAGGGTGCACTGAAGGAGGCCAAGGAAGGAGCCATGAAGGACAAGCGCCGGTACCAGCAGGAGGTGGACCGCATCAAGGAGGCCGTCCGGTACAAGAGCTCCGGCAAGCGGGGCCATTCTGCTCAGATTGGTGAGTGGCTGTAGGTGGCAGCAGCCCAGGTGGAATTACCGCGGGGGGAGATCAGCACGTTCCTAAGGGTCAGGCAACTAGATGATTGCTTTCTCTCCTACCTCCACCCCAGCATCACCCCACTACCATCTCCCCAAAATGTATAAAAGTGAGTGATGTCATGAGCAGCTCGGTTCAGCTCCAGCTCCGTGACTTCCAGGACCGGGGCAACTGCAGGGAAACGGCCTCCTCATGGTCATTTTCCTTACTTTACCACAGCCAAACCCGTCCGGCCCGGCCACTACCCAGCATCTTCACCCACCAACCCCTATGGCACCCGGAGCCCTGAGTGCATCAGTTACACCAACAGCCTCTTCCAGAACTACCAGAACTTGTACCTGCAGGCTGCGCCCAGCTCCACCTCAGACATGTAGTGAGTGGGCCCCGGGCGTGGGCTGGAGTCCCAACCCAAGGCTCTGTGCTCTCTGTAAGGCATAGGTTGGGTCAGCTGCTGGCTGACACTTAATTCCTTTCCTAAGTAGCTTCATCTCAAACCCCTTCTCAACTTCACACCTACGGTTAGAAGGTGGGCATTGCCCTCTCAGCCTGTGGTGCTGTTTGTTGTCCTCTGTTCTCTGGGGACAGGAGGGGTGTACGGCTCCATCCCCACGGGGATTACGGGTCCTCAGATATCGGAGGGTGGGTGCCAGAGGCATCATCTCTCTCCTCTGCTCCACCCAGCTTTGCAAACTCCTGTACCAGCAGCGGGGCCACATCTTCCGGCGGGCCCCTGGCTTCCTACCAGAAGGCCAACATGGACAATGGTGAGTGAAAAAGATGGGTGACCAGCCTTTGGGATCCCCAGGGCAAGTTGAAAAGTAGAAGAAAAGTAAGTGACCCTGTGCCTACAGCTTGAACGCTGCCCATCCCTTCAGGGTCTTGGAGTCTTAGAAGTAGATTCCTCCCATTGCCGTGCCTGTCCCCACCCTCCTCTGCCTTCCCCTTTCTCCTTTCCTTCAGAAGGGGTCAGGGAGAACTTTCTCCAACAAAATGATCAGGCAGCTTGGGGGAGTTGAAAATACAGAGCCACAGACCCAGGTGGCAGCTATACTCCAAAGTCTTACCTTTTTCTCTAAGGGGTCAGGATGAGAGAGGGTTTGGGGAGATGGCTTCTAACACCCCGTCTCCTTTTTTCTTCTCCTAATCCTGTATTCTCAATGATGATGTCTTCAGGAAATGCCACAGATATCAATGACAACAGGTACACCCGTCCCCATTGCTCTTGAGTTCTCTGGGTGGGACCAGAAGAAATGGTTAAATTTCCCTCGTGCCCTACTTAGAGGTTCTCTGGAGCCTGCAGGGAAAGGAGGAGGAAATGAGGACCATTCTCGTCATCACCGGGTTGTCCCGAGGAGCCACTCATCCCCTGCCTCTTGGTACAGAGAGCACATCCTCTCCTCCAATCCCACCTGTGGCTTCTCTCCACTCCGTCGTGGGGGCTGGGGGAGTGCCATGGCCATCTGATGACCTGGCTTTGTCTCCTTCCTTTGGGAACTCTGTGATCTTGGGCGAGTCAGCTCCATCTCTCCAGCCTTGGTTTTCCTTGTATTCCTGTAAATCCTGAATAGTCCCTACCTTTTGTTGTCTCACAGGGATGCTATGAGAGCAAAGTGACAGGGATGTTTTCCTCTATTCGGAGCTGACAATGCTGGGTCTGTTCTTCTAGGAGTGACCTGCCTTGCGGCTATGAGGCTGAGGACCAGACCAAGCTTTTCCCTCTCCACCAAGAGACGGCAGCCAGCTAATCTCCCTCATGGACTGCCGCATACCTGCACTTTCAGGTAGCTTCAGGCTGCTTCCTCTGACCAGCCTCCGGTTGCCTCCTGTCTGGCCCTCAGCCTCTTTGTTTCTCCTGCTTTTTTTCATCATCTCAAAACTTTTACTATATAGTCGTCCCTCAGCTCCTGCTTTCCCTGCCTGGGGGATAGGCCCCTCCTGGCCCCCAGGCTCCGGACACTGACCTCCCCTCCTCCCCCGCTGATGCTTTCCTTTTGGCCAAAGCAGTAACCACAGTACTGCTTTTCGGCCACTAGGGGTCACTGCCACATGTCAAAAAGAGTGAGCAGGGGTGATGTCCGTCTAGAGCCACACCCCGCCCCCCCCGGAATGTAGTGGATATTAGGAGACCTTGAGAGATCATCTCAACCCCCTGTCTGCCTCCACCCTAAAAGAATTTTGGATGGATAGGTATTTTCTGAACCAAGATACCTCCAGTAAAGGAGGTGTTGGCTTCATTCCTGTACCTGTGTCCCATACATCTCCTATCTGCGTAGGTCACCAGTAAGCTTTAGGAAATGCCCCAGGAGGTCTGACTTGTTGTCTCCACACTGCAGCGTCAGCACTCCCCTGCCACCTTGCTCCGTGGAGGTAGTAAATAGCTGTGTTCCCCCTCGTAGCCCCCTCGTTCCACCTCTGTCCCCAGGTCCTCTCTTCCAGCAGCTCAGGCACCTTCCCGGTGCTTGTGTGTCACCAGGCTTCTCACTGGCTTTAGGGCCCAGAACTAGACATTAGGAGCCTGTCTTATTGTCCCCTTTGGATCTCTGGAGAACGAGAAATGAGAGGAATAGGGCCAGTCGCTCACTGGGCTGCGTCCAGGCCAAGCCCTCTCTGGGGGCGTTCCAGGGTAGTAGGCCAGGCACACAGAGGCAGAAGGGCGTGAGGAGCCAGGGAGGAGGGATGGGGAAGAAAGAGGAAGGCCTGGGGGAGAGGAGCAGGCCCTGGGGGAGTGGTGTCCAGTTGGTGGCATTAAAGGAACAAGACTGTAAGTCGAAGTTTGTACAAATGCCACCCTGTTCCTGTTGAGTGGCTGGGCTGCAAGGTGGTTCCTCACAACCTCTTTCTCTTTCTTCCCCAGTTTCTAAGAGGGCCTGAGGCCTCTCCTCTCAGCATGCTGCAAACCTGTGGTCTCTGATACTAACACCTCCCTCCCAACCCTAGTTGTTCAACTGTACTGTTTGATGTCTTCTCTTACTCTGTACCTCTTTGTACTCTGTATCTGTATATCAAAAGCTGCTGCTATGTCTCTCTCCTCTCTGTCTTACTCTCTAAGTATCTAATGATGTATTTAGCAATTTCTAAGCATAGTATACTCACTCTCCTCATTTGGGGCAATAGGGAGGAGGGTGAGTGTTTCTTCTTTCAAACACGTGTCTCTCACACTGAGTGGTATTAGTCATGGAGATGATAAAAGGAAAAATGGGAGCTAGAGGGCCGTGACCCTTCACACACACACACGCACGTGTACACACGCACGCGCGGACACACACACGCACACACACAAAGCCTTAAGTGGAAGAATGTCTTAGCGTCAGAAGAAGACACAGAAATAGACTCTCCCCCTCCTTTTTCACCGACAGCACAGGGGAGGGTAACCTGGAAGGACTGCTACCTGACACGTAGAATTTTCTTCATATACCCCTCAACTGAACCACCCTCCCTTTTTGTACCTTTTGCCTTCCTCTTCCTGTCCCCTGACCCACTGCCCCGATGACCGAGGACATGGATTGTTCAAGGGACCATTTCCCTTTCTCCTCAAAACTCCTTTTGATATTCTCTGCCCCAGAACTCATGAACAGAACCTAGAGTTGCTTTAAAGTATTTGGAAAACCTGAGGAGGCAGACCCTTCCCAACAGTCTGTCAATGGCTGCTCATATGTCCGGTGATAGTTACAGGCACGTGTAGTCAGCGAATTGCTTCTGTGGGGTTGGGGGTGAACAGGCTGGGAAATTCCAAGTATTTTTTGCCACAGTGATGAGCTGGATTCTTTTCTCTGTCCCATATTGGGCTGCATGTTCTTCTCACGTCCACCTTTTGGTTTGGGACCTTCCAGTTCATTGGCAAAATACCTATCTCAAGATGCTTTCCTTTCCGGCTAGAGCCTGACTTTTCCCCATGATGCATAAAAAATTTTTTTTGTTTGACAGAATTCCTTTGATAATGTCCCCATCTGGTTTTAAGTGCACTTTGAAGAAATGGGCAGAGCAGATTTTCCAGACGGGGGGGGGGGGGGGGGGGGAGTTCTCTCCCCCCAACACTGCCCCATGTAATTGATAGGACTGTTATTTTGGTTTCAGACATCCTTTCCTTCCACATGGTGCTAAGGTGGTTTTCTAGGTAACTACAGGGGTGGAGAGTGGAGGTCAAAATCAACAAAGTCCAAATCAAGAAAGTCTGGTGTCCAGACACCCAGTCTTATGTAGGATGGAAGAACAGGATCCCCCAGCAGCAGGGCAACCATCACCTAGCTTCTAAGGCAAGAAAGAAAGCTTGGGGTGAGTGCCAGCTTATAAATGCAGGCCGTATTGGCCTGGGACCCCTTCAAGGGAAAAAGTTCCTTCTTCCTTCACCTGTTGGGCCCCTCTTAGCAATTATGGAAAAATGCAGGGAAAAATCTACCAGAAGGGTGTAGAGTAAATCCAAGGCAGCGATATTCAAACATTTTTAAAAATAAATCTTATATAGAATCCTGATATAAAAAATAACCCAAAGTGACGCAAACCTGGGCAGTTTACATTTTCTTGATTTGGTGGAAAATGCTTCGTTAGTGGAGGAGCTCTTGAATGGTCCTAAGAGTTCAGAACCTGAGGGTTCTGTAGAGTAGTTTGCAAGCCACTGCTCTGAGGGAAAGGGGTTCAGCTTGGCTCCCCTGCCCCAAGCCCCTAACTCAGAGCAGAGAGGGAAAGGCCCAATGGGAGAAGAAGGAAGATGCCTGTGCACCTGTGGACTTGAGCTAATATTTGCCAACAGGGCAGCTGAGAAGCCAGTGGGCTTTATGTAATCTTGCCACCAAATAATTCTTTTAAAACGCATAAGAAAACGTGAAGGTGTTGGGCAGATGAGGAGAGAGATGTAAGGGGAATCTAATTCACTTACATAAATAAGAACACGCACGCAAGGCCTTCACCAGAAGCTTCACTCTACATCCCCCCCACCCCAGCATCCCTTTCCAGAGAGCCAGGGTCACCACAAGGGGCACCTGGTCTGCCCACTCACATCTGCCAAAATGTTGCATGCCAGTGTGGAAGACAAACCAAGCCGCACAAACCCCAGTGTGTATTTACTTGATGTACATAGATACCTTGAAAATAAAATAAATTCAATGATGACTCCGTGGTGTTGTAAATCTTTATCCCTTCCCGGTCCCACTCCCTTACTTGCATGTAATGGCATTTGACACAGCGTGGTATATATCCTTCCAGATGTTTTTCTATATATTTACACACGTTTGTTTGTTTTCCCCACTTGACAATATATTCTGGAGAACTTTTCGTGTCATTATACATAGACTTACCTCATAAAATAGGGGTGCCAGTTGATTAAGCATCCGATTCTTGATTTTGGCTCAGGTCATGATCTCAGGGTTGTGGGACTGAGCCTGTGTTGGGCTGCACTCAGCATGGAGTCTGCTTGAGAGAGTCTCTCCCTCTGCGCCCCTGTCCCCCGCTTGCATACTCTCTCACTCTCTCTCTAAAAATAAATGAATCTTTAAAAAAAAAAGTACCTCATTAAAATATAGATACAATTTTTCATTAACTTACCATGTAATTTTTCAACCATTCCACTACTGGAGGACATCAATCTAGGTTGTTTGTAGTTTTTAACAAAAGATGGTATCCCATTCTCTTCATTTTTTCCCCCAGACCATCACCTCAGTCCCAGTGTTAATTCTGTCCCTCTCCAGTGGGACTCCATTCCTCCTTTGCCAACAGCTCAGTTCTCTTGTCCCAAGATCATCTACCACATTCACCCTTCTGACCCCTATTTTATTTTATTTTGTAAGCAAGCTGTATGCCCAATGTGGGGCATGAACTCATGACCTGGAGATCAAGAGGCACATGCTCTACCAACTGAGCCAGCCAGGCACCCACTATCCCCATTTTAGAGCGTACCCCTATGTGTCCTCTCTGCTCATACCTTGGAGCTTCTGAGATGAATGGAGAAAAATGCATGACTGAAACACTGGGGCAACTGAAAAGCCTAGGAAGGTAACTGGCCCTTTGGTGCTTCTCATGGCTTCTGTGTATCCCTACTGGGTTTCCTTGCTTGCCTCCCAGAGCAGCTGGTCAACACTCTTTTCCCTTCTCACCTCCTCTGTTAGGCAAACAATTAAGGCAATTGATCACGAAATTCTTCATCTGCCCTCCTTCCCTACACACTTACCTATATCTGCACCGATCCTTTCCTTTCTTCCTCCTAACAGCTGATAAATCTCTCTTCTCTGGACTAAAGCAAGTCCCTTCTAGATCCTTCATTCTTGAGATACTTACATAGACCCAATATATACAATACCTAAAAGTGTGGCACACGGGCAGTTTATATCTTCTTTGTGATTTCTCCCCTTCTTGTAAGGTCTCCCTGAAAAGTGTGTTTCTTTTACTTTTTTAAGTAATCTCTGTGCTCAACTTGGGGCCCAAACTTACAATCCTGAGATCAAGAGTCACATGCTCTACTGACTGAGCCAGCCAAGTGTGCCCTGAAAAGTGTGTGTTTTTACTGTGCTTCTCTATAAGTGACTCCCCATGTTGTTTTCTTACAGCCAGATTTCCTGACAAAGTCCCAAGCTTCCCCTCCCCACTTCTTCATCTCCCATTCATTCCTCAGCCCACCTTGAACTGGCTCTTGTTCTGCTGAAACTGCTTTCTGAAGGTCACTGGTTGCCAAATACAATGGGCACTTCTCCATCCTTGTCTTGCTTCACCTCTCCATGACATGTGACACTGCTCCCCACTCGTTCCTTCTGGAAACTCTACTCCCTGGTCTGTGACCCTGCTCTCCTAGTTCCTTTTACCTCTCAGTTCTCTCCCACTAGCCTCTTAAATGCTGGTCTATACCAGGGTTCTTGCTTTCTCTGGAAGGTGCCATCCACTTCCCCAGATTCCATAACAATTACTCAATCTGTATCCCCAGCCCAGACTATTCTGAGCTCTGGGGCTCATATGTTCAGTTGCCCTCAGGTACCTCAAACACATTCCAAACTGAACTTTTCACCAAACTGCCTCTTTTCATGTCACCACCACCATGTCTCCTCACCTTAGCCAGAAGCCTGGGATTCAGTCTCAAGGTCTCCCTTTCCCTCAAGTCCCACATCCACCAAGAATTTTCCAAACTGACATCAAACTCTACCTTTAGATGTCATTCCCTTCTTTCCATCCCAACAGCCACTGTTTTAGTTCACCACCTCGTCCCTACACTTTTGGAATACTCCAGTCACCCTCCAGAATGATGCCTGAGTGGTTCTCGTAAAAGCGCATTTAATCCATCGAAACCACTTAAGGGATCTACTTCGTAAAGAAATACTTTTGGGTGAGCCTCAGGCGAGAGGTTACTCCCAGAAACTGGGCAAAACCGGAAGGCAGCGACTTTGCAGCAAAAGAGCCGCCGACCTGGGAGTGAATGAGGCCATCCCAGGCCGCTTCCCCATCGCCTCGGTGGCAGGTCCGGGCCCGGCTGACCGCCCGCAGCCCTCAGGGAACGCGGCTTCCGTGCGCCCGCCCCTGCGCCAGGTGAGCCCACCCACCGCGCGGGCGTTGGGGCGGGCGGGCGCCAGGGGGCGGAGCCAGCCCCGCACCGCCATGCTGCGCGCCTGCGGGCCAGCCTCCGGTCACGTGACGGCGGCCCAGGTGAGCACCGCTTCCGGGGTCGGGAGCTTGCTTTGCCGCCGGCTCCGGCTTCCACTCCGTCGGGTGCACGGGAGAGGGAGACTATGGCGTCCTCCTCTGTCCCGCCGGCCACCGTACCGGCGGCGACAGCGACCCCGGGCCCGGGTTTCGGCTTCGCCTCCAAAACCAAGAAGAAGCATTTCGTGCAGCAGAAGGTGAAGGTGTTCCGGGCGGCCGACCCGCTGGTGGGCGTGTTCCTGTGGGGCGTAGCCCACTCGGTGAGACCCGGCGCTAGCCCCCCCAGAAGCCCTGTCCGAACCCCGCTGCTCTGGCTCCTCCGGGCGTCCCTGTTTACAGGCTTCCGCCTCCGGAGTCCCTCGCGCGGCCACTTTCCCCCCGCGGCTGTCCTGGTCCCTGCCCACCAAACCTCAGGTGTTCCCCGGCGTATCTTCTCGCTCTAGACGTTGTTGTTTCTTTCTTGAAATGTAGACTTTGTTTCCCCCTCCGCCCCCTATTCCACCACTCTAGTTCCTCCTTCTCCACCTGAAATCCAGCTTGCTGCCTCCTTCCTGCCAGGTCAGCCTCAGCCGCAGGCCACGGAGACCGGCCGGGACCCTGCTTCAGCTGGAAAGACATTAGGGGTAGTGGCTGTTCAGGGTCGGGTGGTGGTGAGGTGTCCGGTGAGAGTTTGTGTGTGGAAGGGGAGCAGGGAAGGCAGCTGAATGAGGGGGATAGTTCACTTTCCTTTCTAGCTGCTGTCCTTGATTTTGGAACCTTGGCTTTGGGGGAAAGCTCCAGGCTTTCCTGGACTTTCTAATCCTGCTTGTCTCTTCCTTTCCCTTCCAGAGGTACAGCATTTCAGAGAAGCTACCCACCTTGAGCCCCATTAAGCCTTATGTATGGTATATGCCTTTGGTCTTAACTGCATCCCCATTGCTGGCTGGAGTGATGGTGTTTGGTGTAAGTGGGGGGCTCATCTTTGACCAAAGAGATGGCGCCACAGCTCTGGTCCTGGGGACACTATGATGGTTAACTTTAGAAACAGGTAGAGGGGTATGGCCTGGGAATCAGGAGGAGGCCACAGAGGCCAGTGCGTCTATTTTCCTTCACTCAGGTGAAGGAAGCACAGCTATTGCTCCTCCTCCCTCAGATTTGAAGTGGGAGGGATGTAGTGACCTTGGATGTAACAGGCAGTACTTTATAAATCAATTTCCTCAAGTCGTTATAGTCACGGCAGGGTTGCAGAGATGGACGAGGGTGAGGAAGAATACAATTTTTTGTCCCCTTCTTAATTTGTGGTTTAGAATGTCGTTGGGTGTCTGTATTTGTATCTGTGGTTCTGTGGACCGCTCCCAGAGTATCTATGCTAAGGCACTTGGTATAGGCAAAGCTGATGGAGGTAGAGCTGCCTCTCATGTGTACTTTCCAGGTGACCCATCCATCCCTTTGGGAAGCTGAACAGGGAGGATTTTTCTTTGGTAAGGGTTGAGGGAGTTACACATGAGAGCTGCCTCAGTTTCCCTAGGTATATATACTTTAGCTCCAACACCCCACCGTGCAGCCAACCCACATTTACTTCAAGTGTCTAGAATGGAGAATTCCTTGAACATATGTCTTAGTGATGATTCAGCCAGCTTGACAGCAGGTGGCGAGGAGGGGGCATGAAGAACTATAGCTGAATTTTAGGCTGGGAATCTCAAGTGGCTTTTTTTTTTTTTCCTGGAAGAATATGTTCTGTCCTCCTTTTCTACTGAGAATGAGAGGAGCAGTTTCACTGCAATCTGTGGGATTTAGGTTAGACTGCACTTCATAACCTCTGTTGAATGATCAAGTAAAGGTAGGCAAGACACCCATTTATTCAGTTAAGAAACACCTCAGGACCCCTTGTGCCAAACATGCTAGCTAGGCACCTGAGAGACACAAGACAGCTACAACTGGTCCTTGCCCTCGAAGAGCTCACAGTGTAGGTGGGGAACTTATATAAACTACGCATTAGAGTCATAGGGTTAAGTGCTCTATTAAAGGTGGGTGAGTGGTACTGTGACAACACTGAGGAGAAAACACATCTCCTGGGATTTCTTCGTACAGGAACTCCCTTTCCACCCAGAATTAGCAGATGGCTGATTCTGGGGGCCAAGGAGAGCTGGTGTTGCTTGCATCCTTTGGGTAGTGGGTTGGCTTGACTTTAGGAACAGACAGCTAATGAGCTCATATCCTCTGCCTGCCTGCATGCATTCTCTCTGAAATCAGCTGCTCTTCTTTTACTTTACACCCAGGCAGTGGGGACCTACTAGAGAGACCTGGGTCAGGTTGGTCTGGAAGGCCTGGTCCTGTTTGTAAGGAGATGCCTCCTGCAGGATGTGGACATCTCATTCTTGTTGCTGTGGACTCCTCAGAGTCCCCTTAACTCTCTTGTCTACTTCAGGAAAAAAAAAAAAAAAAGCCTTTTGTTTTGTTTTTAATGGAGCATAGAAGTGTTTGTCTTGAGTGTTTTGAGTCTGCTGAAG